CCCCCCCCTCTCTCCCCCATCCCCCAATCCTCGTTCCTTCGTTTCCCCCTAAATCCCACTGTCCAAGACGCTAAATCTTATGTCAAAGACAGACTCTTTCTCTTTTGTTTTGGTCAGTGTTTTACGGTGCTCGCAACTGCATACGGTCAGATAAGCGCGCGGGACATATTATTTTCGGTTTTGTTAGGAATTAATGTTGTATTTTGCTCGGATGGCGGCCGACGCCTACTCTTATCGATTTTAGGATAACAGAAGGAATTTAGATTAACATGCGCAACTTGCACATGGGACTCCTGAGATTTTTTCACCCTTATCAGAGAAGAAAACCAAATGACGACAGATCATTGACTAAAGAGCTGGAAAGGAGGAAATTTAAGAAAAGAAAATTTTCCGTCTTGGTCAGAATTCGAATCCGGGACCTATTGAACGAGAGGCGAACACCGTACCTCTAGACCACGAGAGCCTCCTGCTCCTAGTAAAATTATCTAAACTGTGCCGATGGGGAGATTAAAAACACTTTCATTGAAAGAAAAAAATTAGCCAAAAGAAAAAAAAAAAGGCAAAATCACTCTCTGGACTCGGCACCAACAATAAGTAAGGAGAGTGTCGCGTACACTTTGTGGTTAGGCTCATCATCATCCAGTGCCACATCTGTGACAGACATCGGCGATCATGGTTTTCCATTCATTCCTTTGCTCGGATGCTCTCAAAAAAGCTTAATTTCCCTTATCTTTCCCTGTTACCCATTTGTTTAGTTTCCTTAAGTATGTTGTTCTGGGCCTACCCCTGCCTCGCTTGCCCTCAATTTTGCCAGTGAGGAGAGCTAGATGTTCAAGACCCTTATGTCTATTCAGGTGTCCCAAAAACTGCATTTGTCGTGTCCTGATTGTTTTGAACATTGAGCGTCCCACGTGGGCTTCATCAAGCACTACCTCATTGGTCAGGCTACCGGACTCGTAATCGTGGGGTTGTGGGTTCGGGGGTTCCAGCCGCGGGCCCGACGTTGTGTCCTTGGGAAAGACACTTTTCACGAATTTTCCTCACTTCACCCAGGTGGAAATAGGTACCCGGCAATAGACGGTGGAAGATCTTGTCAGTATGTTAGTGTTTTAGCGCCTATAAATGGCTGCTTGCACTGTATGCTTTCCATGAAGTTGATGTTGTTTCAGAATGCTCTCAGGTCTGGTGGGGTAATAGTACTAATAGTATAGATTGTGAAGCGCATAGAGCTTGCTATTGAGCAGGGATTTGCGCTATACATACTATCTACATGTACTATCATTGAGAGAACAGGTTCTCAGTATTGCATCAGGTACTCGAACATAGCACAGAACAGACACACAGATACATACAAACTACAGATATACAATGATGTATTTAACACTTACCTCTATAATTCTATCTGTCTTGCGGTATATTGATAAATATATAGATAGATTCTATCAAACTGTCTATGTTAAATGATAGATAGATAGATAGATAGATAAACAGATAGATAGATAGACAGACAGATAGATAGATGGATAGATAGATAGATAGATTGATAGATAGATAGATAGATTGATAAATAGATAGATAGATAGAT